TTTGAACTGTTAGATCTCTTACTTCTACTGTTGTCCTGTTAATATGGTCTGATTATATCCTATATTGATGAAAGTGTGTGGGAAACTAAACTAAAAGCTACTGAAAAGATATCAGTCTCCATCATGTTTCTTCTTCAAGTTTAATGTAATCCACCCACAATATTAACTCTGTCATTAGAGTAGATTCTCTCTCAGGTCTCTGTCTGTATAACAAGTTGCAATGACTTTTGGATTTCTGTTTTGAATTTTCTTTATTTGTTTCAGTCTTAAGATATAGCTGTAGTTGTATGTCCTTTGTGAAGTGAATGCATGTTTGTTAAATCTACTAATGCTGATAAGTTTATATTGAAATTCAGAAGGAGGGAAATATATTCAGCTTTGGCCTGCACTTGTTCTGATTATTTTTATATTTTATATGCAAAAGCATTGCACATACTTACATATTATGATTCAAATACATAAAAGACAAGCTCATAATCTTGTAATAAAGGGAATCCATGCACACTGCTCTTTCATTCAAGAAGAACTCATAATACCAAGAGGGACTGAGGGGGGAAAAATGATAAGTTGATGTTCATATATAAATAAATGTCTTAAATGCAAGAGCAGAGTGAGGGAATCACCCTTTGTCACAGGACACTCTAACCTGATCAATTTAGTGAAATATTTTTGTTTCTTGTTTAAGAAAAAAGGTCATGACCCCTAAAAAAATGCTTGTACTACATATACAAACGTGTAAAACACTGCAGAACTACAAATAATATGGTGATTTAAGGTGATTACAATACTTTAGCATGCCACATGCAGTTAAAGATGGACTGAACCAGCCTTTGTCCTCCTCTGAAAAGAGGAAAACAACACAAACTACGTCCCACCATGACAGAATAGAGATACAGGATATAGTTTGCCATTGAGTATTAACAACACAAAAAATCTGGTAATAATCACTGTAATAGAAAAACAATTTGGGTTACCTGATATTCAGTTAGGTCACAACTTTATCTACAACACCAGGCCAAGCCTGGATCTACAGATTGAAAACGCAGACTGAACAGGTCATTCCTTCAGAGTGTATCATTAAACCACAGAAAACACTGCAGAAATGTCCATGGGACTGCAATTAAATTCAAAAACGTATTACTGTTTAATTCTGCATTTGTATTATCTATAGTTTACAATCACAGTGGCCAGACCAGAGAGCAATCAACTTCAACTCAAACAAAAGGAAGCCTGAACAAACACACCGGTTGATACAGGTTAGTGGACTGGATTCAAATGTAAAGACCTACAGGTGATACCATCCACCAACAGAACCAGCATTAGACAACTGTAATATATCTATTTAGGGTTTCAGTCATTCAGCTTTTAAGGTATAGCAAATCAGTTTTCTGGAAATTATTGTGACATTAATACTGTGGCCATAAGTGTAAGATATTTATTGATGTGGCAGACAGTCCATACCAGTGTGTAATTTAGATCCAATACAAGCAGCATTAGGTCAAGAAGTCATCAAGAATAAGAGTCACAAAGCTCAAACTGAAGTTCCTTCTGAGACAAACGG